GGGCCTCTTGATTTACAAACCAAGGGTCTTTCTAAAAACCTTAGTTAATCGAGGGTGTGAACTTATTTCCAACCTATACAGATGTCAATATGACTATCACTCAACGCAGAAATCATATTCATCAGGTGTCAGTATCAATAGTTCGCCATACAAAAAAATTACATACATGTTCATCAGTGCACAACTAACTGTCAAACGTTATTAAACAATTGAAATCGATACACAAGTTTAAGTATCAAGTAAAATGTTTTCTGCTGAATAGCTGGATATAAATACTTCCATTGAGGGCGTGCTTTTTGATGGAATGCTAGGGAACGGAATTCCGGTACCTCGGGAATAATTATTAAATTAAATTATAAATATTCATAAATTACAATATACCTCAGTTTCTGGGTCAATGTGCCCGATATCGATCAGGTTTTCGTCCAGTTTCCCTGATCCTCGAGCAAATGCTGAGATGACCCCTTGATTTGCTTCTGTGCAATGTAGCTTCACCATCTGTGCACGTTTGCTTGAGCCCTTTGGGGAAAGTGGATATGCAAATAATCGTGTTCCATTTTATGGCGGCAGTATGTCGATTCCTTCACGTAAAACACTAGGGATAATTACCTTCATTGTACCTTATTTGCCCTTTCAAATGGTTTTTATTATATGGGAGCGAGTATTTTCATAACAATTCTTGTCAAGTACGCTCGTTGCTACAGTTATTCATAATTCAACTTAATGTGTATAAGACATAGGACATCCCAGAGCTCAAGAAACTATGCACATGTTACACTTTCATAGTGCGTTACACAGTTTTTAGTGTTAAATAAATAAATAAATTAAAGGTATAACACCTTCCCCTACACAAGTAACTTTATACATTTTTAATATTTGCTGACAGTAAGTGGTACATTGTCTTGAGAGTGAGATGATGTTATTTTATTGGATGTATTGAGTTTGAGTCAGCCAATAGAAGAAATCTTAAAACATTACGAGTAATTAAATTTAACCTCAAAAATATATTTGACCTTTGCCTCAGAATCTATTATGCTGCCTCGAAATCATAGACTGAGGCGCATGGCTACAGATGGAGTGTGAAAAACGAACTCCCTAATACTAATGTAATAATTCCTAACGACATTTTATTCGCACATTCTGAAGAGCTTGTTCTTTACAGAAGCGCATTAAGTCATTTGTGTGTCGTGAAGCGAGTATACTGATGTATTTTCGTGACTGTGATCGGTTTTCAAAACTGAAAATATATAAAATTTTGGTTAAAGTATCTCGTGAATGAGTTAAGAAATGGATAGGAAACTGGAGGATGAATGAAAATTTAAGAAATAAGGACACGTGGGGAAAAGGGATTAAAACTTCACTACCACCATTTATGAAATCTGATATTTGACTCTATTTTCTAAAATTCTTAAAAATGAAATGTATACCATATCTTGTTTGAATTGTGATATTCAATATATAGGTCAGAGGAAAAGCAGATTAAGTGAACGGATTAATGAACACAGACGCAATATCAAAATCGACCCCATGAAACACAATTCACTACCACACCATAGGATCCACCAATCACAACACTGACTTTGAAGATTCGAAAATACTTAGTCTTGAACGAAATCATTTTGAACGGATAATTTTGGAAATTTTAAATATAAAAAAAATCATAAATTATATTTTAGAATCCAGGGTATTATAGAATTTTCTGGTAAATTTGTTACTTTATATATATTTACCACAATAATAATTATTTACCACAACCTGCGATGAATTACTATCCAGCTTCACGATACAAAAATAAGTTTTCTCGGTGACAAAAAAGTCTTACTTGTCCAAAACGTTTCTGATTATAGTCCAGACCTTCCCCAGATTCTCCTTTTTTCTCACTCTCCAGCAATGATGCCCGTCCTCACGCTTCTCTCCTTCAACGACGTTCTTTGTAGTGCGTTCTTCCAAACCCACATCACACATTGTTAGGGGACCGCACCTCATGTAGATAAAAATGAGAAAACCCCTTGAAACAGAAATGTCGAAATGTAATGTTATTTAACAATAAATGTTTATTCTACTTAATTGGTTTAAAGAACAGGTGATGCATCGTGGGCCCACTATATTTCGTTTAAAGAAAAAAATCACAAAAATTGAGTGAGTAGAATGCTCAAATCTCATCACATACCAAAACCCTTAATGTTTTAAATTCACAAATTATGATCACAAAGACTAATATAAAGTTATACACGTTTTATTTTGTTATTAATTTGGTTAAACAGAACACATTAAACACAAAGCATTCATAAGTAAAAATATTGATTAAAGAATATTATAAGAACGTATTAAACACGACTAAAATCATTTCAGATTTTGTGTTAGCTAACTATCTCAAAAGGGAGAATACATTTTAAAATCATGGCGAGGTACAACAGGAATTAAAACATTTTTTTGTTTGTGTTTTATAATAAGAGCAATTTAGCCCCTATTTGATAAATTAAATTTCAATTATAGAACAACAAAACGCAATTTACATATTAAATGTGAATACACATATGGGTATATGAACGGACCTTCTGGATACAATATTTGTAATTGTTAATATAAATTGACGATTGCAATTTTGAAATTTCAAAATTTAATTGCATACTCTTCTTTTCTAAATGAAAGAAATGATAAATAATTTTAAAATGTACCTCAATGAGAGCAATGAAATTGTTTTTAAGTTCTAATAATAAGTTAATTTGTGATTCAATTTTTGTTTCACTTATTATTAAAATGTTTATCACTTAAATTATATCTGTACTTAGATTTCAATTTCGAGAAAATCTGTACATATCTACAACGTGTATCAAATAGTGACAAGAAACTTTTGGAGAAGCCGTTAATTTTTTGGATAAAGGTCTGTAAGAGTTGTTAGTATATGGGTGATCTGGGCTGTCCTGGTGACGCCGCGTCGAAGGCTGAGTTGCCGACGTTTCGACCATCCTGTCGTGGTCTTCCTCAGGGCTGGTAAGCATACCTCAGCCTTCGACGCGGCGTCACCCGGACAGCCCAGATCACCCACATGACTCAGGCCGCGGAAGCCTACGACTTCATTTGAGTTGTTAGTATAATTCAATCACATTTCTTCCTTTGAGATCAGCTCTTTACATTTTCATAGCTGCTGGACTTGCTCGTATGACATGAAAACTATTTCTGAAAGGCTTCTATGTCTATGGAGTTAACATCCAAGTCAGTGAATCTATTTTTGATTTTTTCCAAACAATATAAGAGGAAACTCAGAACAATTTTCAGAACTTAATAATTTACAGAAACTGTAGTTATACAATTATTTGTAGCAATCGCTTTTTATAGAAATAATAATTTCTACGTAAATGCTTGTTATGAGAGAGTAGCTCACATAGGAGTTTATTTTCTGCTTGTATTTTTAAAATTTCATTTAGATAAACAGTAATATCTGAATTGGAAGCCAGTTTCATAACCTGTGTCACGATTAAATTCAATTAGAATATATTTTGAGTTGGCGGGACACATAGATCCGCGGGCCGTAGTTTGAAGATCCCGGTTCTAACGTAATCAGTAAAAAAAATTAAGTACAAACTCTTATTACGTTGTTTGAACGACAAACATAGTTTGTGTTGTCTCTTGTCCATTGAGGAACATTAAGCAATTGATTGCTCTTTCTGGAACGAAGATTGACGGTATTGTGTACTATTTTATTAGCACTAGAGTTGCATCTACTGCAGCTTATCCTAAGGGCAATAAGTATTAACTTGCCATGTCTGTTCAAATCATTAATGATCATGTTCGTAATATTTTTCAATAATTTTGAAACTAGTTTTACTGCTTCTAGAAACATGTCTGAACAATGACGAAAATAAGTCATATTCTCTCCCCATGTTTCTAGATTCTAACTAATATTTCTAATGTTTTCACATGAACGCCAAACTGAATAAATCATGGAGTGGTTATTCAGCACTTCGTGGCATTTAATACATGCTCCAGAATTCATTCCTTAAGTAAAAAGAAATTAGTCACACACTTTTACATTATCAAAATTTTACACAAATAACCCACAAATATGCTAATTATGACAGAATCATTCAACGACGTTAAATGTTATATTAATTGTTTACAGCGATTGGGCGTATTAAAGTCTACTTGAGAACTGTAGAAGAGAATTGTCAAAGGCCATAGTACGAGAGACGCGTGTCCAAAGTAAGGCTTACTTCGTGGGGAATCTACTAGAAAGCTTCCAGTAGAAGTTCCAATAGTTTTCCAAAATACCCACATGCTGTTCTCGGTTAGCGCAGGGAGCCACGATTTCGTCCACTTCGCAAGATGAAGAGACGACTTTGTCGTTGGAGAAGAACCCGAACTTCTTCCTTCTGGACAACTGATTCGTTCCGAGAGCATTTGCTGGAGACTAGGCTTCGTAGAAGCAAACATATTCTTTGGCCTCATGCCTACGCAGTGCTCGATGTATCAAATTGTAGGTCCCGAAACGCACCCCAAATTACTTATTTATTTAGCAGAAATAGTTATGTATTTATAATATAATTTAATATTACAAATCAAACTTAATAACAATAACAAATAAGTTAGCACTTGCTATACGTGAATATAATGATATGAATAATAGTAAATAAAATACATTATATAATGATATTGTATCATATTTTACTAATATTTTATTACGTTCTTGGAAATAGCACAGTTAAATAAAAAAATAATTTTGAGTTAACGAAAGTTGATTGTTTATTGTCTCTATTTTTTAACACTGTTTCGTTGCCTTCCGCCAGAAATCAAGCCCTGCGCCTATGTTATCTTCTCCAGTTGCTATTTTGACTTCAGTTCGTCTCATCAGCTTGATAAGTGCATGAAAGGAGAATAAGGCTGCCTGTGTACCCAGTGACAGAACTTCGTTGTTTTGAAAACTATTGAAATGTTGAAAAGAAAAAAAAGCGCTCTTGGAAATATGCAATAACATGGAAATAAGAATGTCTGCCATTGATGTTTTGTATAAATTGGGTTAAATGAAGAACACAAAATACACTATTCGGAGATATTTATATTTCGGAGCAAATTGCAAACAATCTTCACATACACTCATCATAAACACACTACTTGGAACAACGAGCCAGCATTAATGTCAGACGTCCTCGCAATAACGAAAAACTTTGTAAGACATTCAAAATCGATGTAAAAAGTTTAGTTATCCATAAATTTAGAACATTTAACTACTTAAAAGTTTTTACATTTTACTTACTTTACACTATAAGCCTATTTAATATATCAATTAATTATATCTAGATAATAGAATAGTTGGGCAGTCTGAGGTAATTTCAAATGTATCACTCAGTCGACTGGTTGCAAATACAAGTCTCTATAATACATCGCTTAATATTTCTATTATATAAGTATAGGGCATTTTCTATATACATACAGACCCACGTCTTTTCTATTTATCACATCTACAAGTTCGTCTAATTCATAAGCAGATAATCTCTTGAGCACGACCACACTGCAATACAGAAAAAAAAGGAATGAAGGAAGCAAAATGTAAAATTTCAAACAATATAAAATTCCTATCCCAGGAAACCGTAGTTCACTTCCATGTCCTTTTCAAAATCACATTCATTCACTTGCTCAGGATGAGGTAAATATTCGATATTCATGAGAGTCCAGGCATGCGTTCGATGAGACAGGACATTTGAAGGGAAAAGGAAAGACTAAACGGCTGGAACGCACGGAAATTAGAGGACGAAACGTTCTCCGCATGTTTTGGCACAACAAACACGTACTTCTCATTTAGAAGAGTCGAAAACAAGACATACATTTTTCGCTCAATGAAGCGACGGCGATAAATATTGCAGAAATTTTGATTACGGGCCGGTTACTTTCAAAACAACTTGTCGATCCAAAATGAGATGGGCTGGAAAACTATGACGGGTAATCGACTGGCAGTCGGAGCGCCCTTGAACTCTCAACTACTCGGAGGGCGAGAAAACCCCCTCGAAAGGAAGATCTTTGCGAGAAGATCGCTTGAAAGAGCCCCGCGCTCGCGCCGAAGCCCTGCCGCGCCGCGCCGACCACCAAGCCTAATGAGGTAGATTAAAGTGACTCATCATGCAACGAACAAGTGCAGTAGAGGCAGCGTCCATACGGGGGCTCAGGGTGATTATTAGGAAGAAGTCTCTCCGGAGCCGTCGTGAAGGGGGGCGCCAAGTGACGGCCGGGAGGGGCGCGGGCGGTGCCGGGGGTGGAGTGCTGAGCGGGCCGCGTGGAGCGGGGCGGGGAGAGGGGGGCTAGGTGCGGGACGGGAGCAGCGGGCGCACGCGATAAAGCCCTGGCGACACTGCTGGAGGCGGGCGCTGCTTGCTGCTGCGACGGGAACTGATGCGTGACCGATCTGCAACAACATCAAACAGTCCTCAGCATCTGCAGAGTCAGACTACATGAAGGTGATGACTTATTTATTTCATTCCTGTTTTGTAATAAATTATACGATGATACAAATGTTTAAAGTGCCGGAATCCAACACAAATATAGTGGTATCTACTGCTTTAAACACGTTTTACAATATTTTAATAATTAGGGGGCAGATTTTACTGACTTTGAATACATTGCCAAAAATGATCAATAAAATGCTCTTAAAATACTTTAAAAGTGCCCTAAAAACAAAGAAAAATGACGCAAAAAAAATTGATCAAAACCATTTCAGAAAAACAACTGAAGCTGTTGGATATGTTACTAATGTAATCAAGGTTTCTTCCTTTTGTTCAAGTGAACTCAGCTCACAAACTTTCTGTTTGGACTGTTCTTTAAAAGAAAATCTCTGCCTCTATCGCGATATCGGCCAAACTGGCAATGGAACCGATAGGCATCACAGGAGCCTTAGATTACACAGTACTCACAAGGACTGACATTACAATATATGAACAAAGAAATCCAATACGATACTCAGAAATCCTGTGGAGAACATTAGTTGCCCCTCGTAAATATTGTTTGGAGCAAGTACCATTAAAATGATATTAAAATCAATGAAATTAGCGAATAATGCATTAAAAATTATGTAACAAAGACTTGTTATTTGAAATCGATGAAAAATGCAAAATGAATTTCTTTACTAAACGGTATTGCCCTAAAGTGAAAAGAAAAAAATGACATTTCATTAAAACCCACCCTTATTAATAATTATATAATGATTTTAATTAGATTGGGACACGGACGAGTCGTCAGTTCTTTGGGAATCATCTCGCTCCCCAAACGGTGACCCGGGAGGGGCTTTTAATTCCTTCACCTTTGCAGCGATTCCGTCAGTCTCTGCCTGCTGTACTTGCACCTGCTTAAGCAGGAAGCGCGCGTGCTCCAAGTCGGCATGCACGCAAACGAAAATCACTAATTATTTCATAACGATTGAGATTTTCAACTTTGTTTTGGCATAATCATGAATAAGAGAAGCATCGTCTGCAGTATCCGCAAATACTGCTGAATCACTTGAAGTGTTGAGTAAAGCAATGACTCTCATAGTTGATTACACCGCATCGGGTGGCGGAGGAACCCACCAGGAAAACGTGTAGCGTTAAATTTGTAGTAGGGCTGAATAGATTTTTTTTTTAAAAAAAAAACGCCTTCCGCGCGAAGGGGAGTCCGGGGCGCGGGCGCGGGCGCGGGCGTGGGCGTGGGCGTGGGCTCACCTGGGCGTGGGCGCGGGCGTGGGCGTGGGCGCGGGCGCGGGCGCCGCGCGCTTCACTTGCGCTCCCAGCCGCTGGAGTTGTAGAACCAGGGCTCCTCCCTGCTCTTGGCCCAGCTGCTCTCCAGGCTGCTCTCCTGCGCACGCCACGCACGCAACGCTTGCAGCCTTCTCACACCCAACGGGCACACATCATTACACTACTTTTTCTCTGGCTTACGGGAGCCACAGTGGGCAAAAATGACGAAAATATATTTTATTTTACTTTTTTTGAACAATTAAGAAATGTACAGTTTTTTGTGTTAAATAAGCCAAGTTTTATCTGAAAATGATATATATTTTTATTTATTTTATTATTTTGAAGTTTATGAGGCGTGGAAGTGGGCGTTGCCATTTTGACTCAACGTGGGTATTGTTTGAACATTTTTCTGCTTTCGTTGTGAGAAATAGTTAATAGTTTGCTGTTTAGTGTTGGACACACTCTCTCTGGTAACAAGTGAGGTTGAGTGGTGTCAAAATATTGGCGTACTTGTTTGCCCTGCAAGCGGACCAGGTATGCGCATAAAACTTTAGTTCCACTTCCACTTAAATGTTTCGTCTATAGGGAAAATTTTCTGAAAAACTAAAAGTAGACGAATGATCAAATTTTAACAGAGCATTTAGCACACCGGTTTTTATATTGTAACTAGCTAGATTTATGAAATTATTAATAATTTAGACAATATTCTTATAAATGTTAATATTTTTAACAACAGAACCAATTGCAATAGACAAACAATTATATTAAAAACAATTTTTATTTTAAAAAATCCTTTGTTAAAATACATATAAGTAATGAATCTGCATTCACAAAAAATTGGAAGTCTTTTCAAATTAGTTTCTGAGAAAATATTTCTTGCATTAACATAAGTGAGATAGGCCATTCCGGCTCATCTTAACTGATTATAATGGATCTTGATAAGCATCTGAGAAAAGTTGGTGTTTAAAGCATGATTGTTAATGTTTTTGGAAATGTATTCACTGTTAATGGTTCAATGAGGCACGACCAATACTTAGAGGCCCCAAAGAACCAATAGTTCCCTCACATAAATGAGTTATTTGAAGAAAAAACAAAACAATGACTACGTTCCCTATTACAAGACGAAAGAAATTTGGAAAACATCTTCAAGACATTGATCAGTCTGGGTTCTCATGGACTGCAAATAGTCCCGACATGAATCCCATCAAAAATGCTCTAAACTTGAAAGAATAGGCCATAAAAACCAGCTCATAAAACAACACATTCACATCTCGCAAAATGACACTCAAATTGAAAGAATGGATTAACAATTGATTTTCAACACACCTCAAAACAAGTATGTTAGTTATGAAATGTTTTTAAAACTTTAGAACCCTGTTCACAGAGTGTGTCAGTATCTATAGTCACGAATACATTTTTTCTTATTCAATTATTCTAGTCTAATAATTTGATCACATCTGTATATGACGTATGGGTAAGAAGTATAATTTGCCCACAATTTCTTGAGTTCCAGAATCATTTCCCCAGTCTTTTACTGTACATCATTGTATGATGAATAACAGTACCAACATTGCAAGGTAAACAAAATTTGAAAAATAATAATTTTTGCTCCGGTGTAACAGAAAACTTACCGGCAAACGAACTGCGGGTTTGAAATATAGTGTTGCAAATTAGTTAACCACATCCCACAAAATGTTTTGTTAAATGTCTCGTCCATAATTATATTATTGCATTTTTATTCATTTTAAATCTTGTTAAAGAGTAAGAGTATGAAGTGAAAAGCGAAAATAATATAAATATCAAAGATTTTTTCAGTCATAGTGGTTCTGTAGCGTGTTGCATCTGCACGCTTTGTGTGCATTTTAATTTAATTTTATATATTTGTAACACATAGTTATTAGACTTTTTTTTCTGAACTCCATCATATACACATTAAATATGCCCAAACTCTCAGTGCTCCATACGCGCAATATCCTTAAAAACGGTAATAAAGTTATCTTTTCACATGCTAATATATTATGTATATATTACATAGTGTATAATATGCATATTCATACATCTATCATTTATACTAAAAGTTCTCAAAGTAAAGTTTGTCTCACGAGGGATAGGGGAAGTGACTCTCAATTCCCACTACCGTTTCATCTTTTTTGCTCACATCCGGCTGCCAATGAGTAGTCCAGTTCGTGCTCAGGTAACACGAATATTTGGGGATATGCAAAGGTAAAGTGTAACACACATGTGCTCGTCAAAATGCCACATGGACGATCCGACAAGCATCACTTGTTACAGATACCAAACGTGTGATGACACAACGACGAAGGAGGCGTTGAAGGAGACTGCTCGGGGCAGACACTGGTTACGGAGGGAGAACAGCTGTCAATCCAACTTTTGGCTCATTCGCAGTGGAAGATTTTTGTAAGTTATTCTGTATATTTCGATTTTCTGAAGTGGCCAATGGCCACATTACGTCATTGTTACACTTCCTGCCTTATAAAGATAAGCTATTTAATTAATAAGAGAACGGCCTTCTCAACGGGGCTCGTGGCCGCAGAAACACTTACCAAAGATAAATAGATTCATTTCATAAGACAGGAGGAGTAACAATGACTGCGGTGCACTTACTGGCACGTTGAGCTGCGAGTGGCCCATGGCGGACGCGGGGCTCAGGTAGTCCATGTTGGTGTAGTAAGCGCCGTAGTTCTGGTGCGGGGGCGGCGGCGGGTAGCAGTTGGCGGCCTGAGCCGCCCCCGCCCCGCCGGCGCTTACGTAGCCTCCGCGGGCTGGTCAGGCAGCTGTCGAATGGCGCAGGGCTCCAGATGGCGGCACGAGTTGCCCGCGTTGTAGACGGCGCGGCGGCGGCGGCGGCGCGCGGGCGAACGAGGCCCACCGCCCCTGCGGGGCGGCGTGCCTGCTCAGCAGCGGCTGATGTAGCCCGGGGAGTTCGCGGTGCTGCGCGCGCGGGCGGCCGGCGGCGGCTGCGGGGCGGCGCGGGCGCGCGGCCGCCGCCGCCCCGCCCCCGGACCCGGCGCCCGAGCCCGGCGTGCCCTGCCCCGCCCACCGCCACTGCCCGGGCGCCGGCGGCGGAGACTGCTGCACGCGCGCCTTCTGCTTGGTGCCGCCGCCCCTCGCCCCGCGCGCCCGCCGCGCCCCGCCGCGGCGGCCCCGCCGGCCCGCCGCCGCCCCCCGCGCGCCCGCCGCCGCCCTTGTCGCCGTTCTGCTGGTGCTGCTGCTGCTGGTGCTGCTTCTGCTGCTGGCGGCACTTGGCGCGTCGGTTCTTGAACCACACCTGCGACACAACACGACGCACACCGCTTAACCACCCACCTTTCCATTACGCATTCACCAGCTAATAACTGCGCACGAAGCCGATGTTAAGGTTTCATTTCACTTTTGTAAAACAATATTAAATATTACTTTTTCGTTACAGTGTGCGTTAAACAAAAACGATGGTTATATTTGTCCTGAGTGAAAGAGTTTTATCGTAAGAATGTTACACCATAAGGAACCACCGCCAAGGAAAAAATAAACGAAATATTAATATTGTATAACAATCTCACTCATGCTGTTGTAATTTGTTGCTATCTTTGTACACTGGAATAAAAGTACAAATGAGAAAGGACGATTAAATGTAGTTAATAACTTATTACACTTATGTTTCTGATATGTTTGAACGTTTATCTGCTATTTCAAGTTACAGACAAATTATGTATCATTAGGTTATTTCGTTCGTGTAGGTAGACAAGCACTTAAATACTAGGCCATTTTTTCTTATTTTAACATGTTTAGGGGATGATCCGATTAGATTATCTTCACCGTATTACTTTGATTAACAATTTGCGAGAGTCCTCGCGCGATCGCGCCCGCTCCGAACTTAAGCAATCTTTACGAAACCAGATGTGGGATATGTGCACAAATCGTCTTGGGAGCTAAAATTAACATTCTTAATCATTTATTTTCCTTTTATTAGGCATACATGCAATAATTCAAAATGTACTATTTTTAATAATCACAAATAAAAACTACCCTTTGACAACTGTTTGCGCTTAACTTCTCTCTGGTAACACTATAGCGCCTTCAAGAGACGTAATGGTCCAAAAATCATGATTTCTTTCATAATAAAAATATTACCTAGTAACCCTGTAATTTATTTTGCTCGCTTTCCCCAGTGCAACTTCGGGTTCAATTCCAGGTTGGGGCAAAAATTAATTGGGCGCTTTCCTTGGAATGTCCCAGCATCTGTTGCTGTGTGACGATGAGAAAGCTCACTTCTCAGGTTGAGAATATCAGAAATGCAGCGTAGGGATGAGTATGTGCCAGCCAGACGTACTCCGTGGCCGCTACTGGTAGGCTTTAGCTCGTAAACAGCGTTGTGCCAAAGCACATTAAATATTAAATTATTTTAAGTAAAAAAGTGAGTATATGCTATGTCCCTAAAACTTTCCGTTTGAATAGACATACATACGTTTACTAATTCATTCCTTCATATAAACGCATACAAAACAGGAAATAAAGAAGCATCGATACCCAAGGCGGGATTCGATTCTGCAACGAAGAGATGATTCAGGCTCTAGCAATGTGAAGCCACTCAGGCTTCAGCGTTATTCACATTCAGTAGAAACTATATGCTTAATTAAGTGGTGTTATTAAACTACGTACTCTACCCACACAGTCTGAGATATAAGGGGCATTCAAAGCGTCCGTCTCCTCCCATTCCCAAAGCCTCTCCCGGTAGGTTGGTGCAGGTGGCGATTTCGGTCGCTGAAACGTCCTCGGGGACAACCACTATCCCCAAGATTTTCCACTGTTTCTTCAACGACGCGAGTGAATCCTTTGAATTTATGGATCTTCCTCTTACACACTGTTGTAAGTTCGCTCGTATCGACAACTGCTATATTCACAAAACATACTTTCTTTTTTTCTCCCAGTTATATCAGATCTGTTTTGAATAACGATTCGATCTGTTCGTATACATCGGTCCCAGTCAAGTTTATAACTTGCTTTGAAGTTATTGTTGTTGTTGTTATTATTATTATTACTATTATTATTATTACTACAAATGTTTAACTGTTCAGACATGAATTGTAACATTAGACTAAGCATCTGCTAAGTGGCTAGGGTTCGCAGTAGTACCTGGCAATTGCGAAACGAGAAACGTTTTGTAATTGTTAAAACTTACAACTATTATATTATTATTATTATTTTTATTATTAATTATAATTATTATTATTATTATGTTGTTGTTGTTTTAATACAAGAGTAGTTTTCCGCTGAATGTGATCCTGCAGAGACAGACGATAACCACCGAAGCCTCCGAAGCGCCCGATTCCGCGGAAAGCAACGCGGCCGTGCGACGCGAGGCCGTGGGCGCTGCCGCTGGCGCTCAGCGGCTCGGAGGGAGGGGGGTGGAGGGGAGGGGAGGGGGGGGGGAAGCCTCGCGGCGCAGCGTGGTGCAGGTGGCGCCTCATCGATCCCGGGGTCTTCGCGCCGGCGGAGGCCCAGGGCGCCAGCAGCGCGCCAGCCAGCGACGAGCGTTCGCGTCGCGAGGGAAGACAGTTTTTTTGTACGCCTACATGTCCATCTGAACACGGTCGGTCGCGCCTATACGGATAGAGTTTCATTGCTCACACGCTGATTCAGGGATGAAAGTAGTTTCAGTTTTCAAACTTATTCATGTCAAACTGAATTTGGGATAACCAGCTTTCGCTCCCAATGATAGTTTCATTTGTCACATGTGTAGTTGATTCAGTCATGGGAGTGTTTTTATACCCATTTAAGCCAAACAATTTCAAGCGTAGTCGAAAAAAAATTCGTTTCATTTGTCATTGATGTGACGTTAGTTCAGTCATACCAACGATTATATTGATTCATTCCTACCAAACTATATTTTGAGCTTAATCGTTGGGCAATATCACTCCGCTTCTGCGAATGGCGGGTGCTCAATATATAATCGGTAGTCGTGTGAGTGATTATTTTGACACATTCATGCCTAACGTTTTTGAGGAAGTGATCGTTGAGAAACTTCTCATTCATGTCACAAACGTTGGGAAACGTAATAATAAATCATTTGTTCACGGAATTCAAGATCAGCAAAATTCAAACTTCTATAGAAATATTTCTTAATTACTCTTTCACTAGAAGCTGGGATTTTGCGGCTTTAGTTAAAGTGTGATCTGACATTCGGTGTATTTCATATCTGTCGCTGACTGTCCGTTTCCTTTCGGCGTGCATGATCTGATTTTCAATTTATAAAAAAAATTCATTTTAATATTCTCACTAGCTTTTTAACATGATTTGTATCAATTCTTACAAATTCTTTTTAGTGATGAAATCGGAACAAACTAAATCACTCATGGAAACGGTACCTAATAACCCACAACTACATTTACTTCCGAGGTATTATCAGCTGACGCTCAGATCATCCGATTGACGGAAGAATAATTTCGCGGTACTCGAATGTGGTTTTGTCAAATCAACCGGTCGCTTGCCTGATCGGAGTATATAGAAGACCCGCATATAGTGTCTGTTAATTCCTTGCCCATTTTTACCAGTGGCGTCAGATAGAACCGAAATTTTTAAAAAAAGTGTATTTATTCTTGATACAAAATTTGCATTTAATTTAAAAATTGTGACCATATATGGGTTCAAGAAAAATGTCTGTACAAAAAATCGTCAGTGTGCGGGAGAATGGTTGTAGACCGAGCGAAACATTTATTTCGCGACTAAAGAATGCTTCACTGAATAACCCCCTGTCTTCTCAACTATCTTTCTGAAATGTTTACGACAAAACTTGTTATTTTGTAAGCAAACCTCTTCAATTTACCAAACAAAATCATTTTTGAGAATGTGAAGCTTCTTGAGCTCCAACTACATCGAGATAGGGTTAACTAGATATATCGAAAAAATGCGTATCATGAATACCGGTTTAGTGGGAAAATTGACTGGTTAAAAACGGCAAACCCAGGGATTGAACAAATTTACGAAACTAAAATGTTTCATTACGTAAGGTTACGGGGCCACTTTAAAAATGGCCGAGGGCACGCCCCTAGCCACGCTAATCCATCCGTGGGAAAGAGGTTTCAGTCGAATATCGGAAATCACGAACCATTGTCCTATTTGGTGAAGAAAACATGGATCACACATACGTTCAACTGAATTAATATTAAATTTTATATTGTAATCATTATAATATTAAAATGTATTTATAATTTTATACTTCAGCGTATTATTTAACTTATCTCTGGTAGATATAATTACACGCTTGAAAAAACAATATGTAAGCCAGAAATATTTTAAAGCAAAGAGATTTCTCTCTGAGCCATTGTGCCAACATATTCAATTTCATGGTTTTAATTTTGATTTACTAGACCGTAACAGACTCGGTAACATTTTACTCAAGAGTTTTTTCGTTTCAAACTCTGCATCCCAGGCGGTGCCTCTTCACTTCTTAGGTCATTACTCTCAAAGACGGCCCAAGAAGACTATCTCCCCGCTCCGTCTCAGCATCATGTTTCGGAACGCATCTAATTTCACCCGCGCGCGTCTTCCACCGCCTGCTCTTTCGCGCCGTCTCCCCTGCCACCCCAGCCCCCAGCCGTCTTTCGCCCTTGTTCTCCGCGGGGCGACTTACCATTCGCTTCCGCTGGCCCCGGCCGTAATGGGGCGTTCATTAGCGAACTTCCGGCCAAGAGGCCCGAACTCAGCTCTTAACTAATCCGGCAGCGCGAGCCCGCACCGGCCCCTCGCCGACAAGCACCGAGGAAACGTCCTGCGCCATTTGCGAAAAGTTGTCAAAAGCCGCGCCCGTTCCAGCCCTCTCCCGCCGCGAGCGCCCCACGCGGCGTTTGCCTCAACCACAAGCGGGCGGCCCTGCTCGACTCCCTCGAAAGAGTCGCACAGGAATGCTTTCGTTCCGAGACACGTGGGAAAAAATCAGATAAAATAATAATTACTGAATTACATATCATCAGCTTCATTAAGAATTCGACTTAAAACCCATTGAACATCCCATCACATTCCTAGCCACTAACTTTTACTATTATTTAACCTTAGACCCCTTCCCTTGCAAACTTCAGACTCGCAAAAAATTCTCACCACACCAGAAGAAACAAACAGATATTCTTACAATATATTCCTAAAAATCTTCACCAATTTAGGATCTGAATAGCGGACCCAACAGGGCATTCTCAACCTCATGTTAGATTAAGTTTTAAAAGTAAGTTTTAAATATAAGTTAGTACGTAAGCCTTTCAGTCATATGTGAAGTTGGTACTTGAACTAAACCAATGT